TACCGTGTACCGCTCAACATATTGCTTGGCTTTTGTGAAGATTACAGATGTGTGATAAGTAACGCTCGTCACGAATTGATTTTGATACGAGCGTGCAATGATAACAATTATCTTGTGGGAAATCCTGCGAGAGAACCAAAACTTGAATTATTCAAAGTACAATGGCGAATGCCTCACATTATATTGAACAAAATCAATAAACTATCCATGCTGTGGATCTTGGAAAGCAGACGATATCTAAGTATCTAAGTAAGATTTCCATTCATGGGATCTGTATGAATATTCTTTATTGCCAAACACAACGAAACATTCCTGGGCAATCAAGACTGCAACTCAGCTAGAAAAATCACGATATGTTTTCTTTGCTCTGTAGATTGACAGAAAAAAATAACATGAATGCATATAAAGATCAGTTTGATCACTGTAACTTAACCAATGTAAAATTTTATCTAAACTCAGAATTTTATCCTTACGATGAATCTAGATTTTGACAAACATAGATGTTGTCTTATGCTATCTTATATGACATATATTTACGCTTCCGTACGTCTTATTATCAAATTGATAAATCGTACCATGAAACGCTATACAACTATTCCAACTTTAAGCATTTTTGTTGTGCAATCATTGATTGTTCGCGGCAAAATGAATCCATCAAAAGCGCCGTAGATGTGCGATTAGAATTTGAGTTCAAAGCGAATGTACCAGCGAATATCGTCTATTGTCTCATCATATATGACCACGTGATTGAATATAATCCACTGTCCAACGTAATGCGCAAGATAACATAAATTGCAGCGCTGGTATATAAGAGAGGATAAAAACTGAAATCTTTTGCTATAAGATGCAGTCTTGAAAAATTGCTTGTCATGGTTGTGCCAACATTTATGGATCTATAAGGATTTATTATTGAGAAGAGATTTGTCGTGAAGGAAGTGGCGGTATTAAGGAAGGGGTCTGTTCTTACACATTACATTTTCGCAAGCCCCGTACATGGAATTCACTTACAAAGTCCGAAAAGTCTGGCGCTTCTTGGTTGATTGCATATCATCATGGGTTGCAATGGAAAGACGGGATGGTTCCGTACAACATGGCGAAACGTCTGATTATAACAGCTATGTTTGGTATGGAAGAGAATGACTATGAGGCTCTCATATACGTTAAGGGATACGAAAAACGAGAATGGTTGAAAGATATGCTCGACGACGGTACGAGGGATGACACAATCATTGAGACCTTGGATGTGGATTATGAAGACATTGAATCTTTAAATACTCTAGATATTAATAATACTTTACGATGTGGAAAACATTTGAAATACTTGTGCATTACAGAATATATTTAAAATATTTAATTGGTAGTCACAACGACAGAAAGAATTGCGAGATTTGAAAAATAAGAATACATAAATATTAATATGTTTTTATTCTTTTTTTCTTCCCTTTAATTAAGTAATTAAGATTAGTAGTGTATATTGAAAAATCATTCTTTCAAATTTAAAATTTTTTAATAAAATATAAAAATAAATACTGAAGAAAATATTAATTTATTAAAT